TATTTTTAACATTTTCACTCAAAATCGTATTTTAACATAATAAACCCTAAATATTCATAATTTAATCATATTTTCATGAAAATCCTTACTTAAATAATAAAATCTAGTGGGTGAATAATTGAGGTGGAGTGCTGACTTTGCTTTACCTTATGACACAAGCAACCACCCCCACACCCACTCTATGACAAGCCACACCTCCCCACCTTACCTAGGTCACTTCAATGTCCTTTCCACTCAATTATCAGCCTTCCCCACGTTCTTAGAGTTGGAACAACCCATCCTCTCTCCTTACTTCTCTCATTTGCTCTCATTTCACCAAGGACCCAACTCCACTTTTCTCTCAAACTTTCTCTATCAATTTCGAGATTTCAAGGCTGATCCTCAAGGTTTCTTACATTCTTGGTAAGTATAATTCATCCTCCTTGTGATAATTACACTCCATTCTACTCCGATCATAGATTGCTTACACAAATTACATCATTTTGGTGTTAGATTCTCGAAAATCTTCAAGGCATCTTCAAGTGTTCTTGAGTTGAACACTTCCCTAATCCAACATTCATCCACTGAAATCACTCAAGGTGAGTTCATACCCCTACATTTTAATGTTTTCTCAAGTTTTTAGGGGGGGGGGGGGGGAGGGGGATACAAGTTAAAACACCAATAACATAACTAAAATTTTCTAACAGCCTTCATCAGAAAAGTTCAACTCCATTCACGGACTGTTTTGGGCAACTTAAACATTTTTGTTTTCAAAATTGTACAAAGTGCAAGTAGTTCAAGTTCTTAGCTTTAAAATGACTACTTGCACATCTCCATACGATTTTTCTGCAATTTATGGTGATTTTTACAAAACTACCTATCATTTCAAACACCAATCCGGACCAGTCTGTGATTATGGACTTTTTCACCCAAGTTGGAGGTCATTAAAAATTATGAGTAAACTAGAAACATTTTGGGAACTCTCAGAATTTACGAATTTAGTTTTCGACTTCGTATGATTTTTCTCTAACTTTTCTAAAACAGTGCAGAAAGGTTAAATTTAGTTAACAACATATAAATTTCATAACACTTTGTATTATGTTGAGCAAAGCGTATAACAATAAGTTCTAAATATTAAATGTGTTTCCTTGTTAGTTTATCATCATAAACTGAAACTTAGTCATTCATGATAAGATTATTCATTCATTTAGAACACGTATATTAAGCTATAGTTTATGGATTCATAACACTAATGCATTTTCATAAAAGAGTTCTTATACATTACAAACGTTTTGGATAAACTATAATAGGTATAGTTTATGATTCATCACATAATGCACTCGTACAAAAAGGGTACATTCATACAAAAAGGTTCTACACTCACGCACACTACATGTAAACTTGTTAACTCAGGATGTGAGACTATCTCTCCCCGTACGTCCGAGTACGGGATCCAAATTCCTGTAAGTTATAACCAAAATCTCTTGTAGGGAGAGCGTGATAATTGTGTATAGATCTATATTGGGGTTGACATCCCACAACTCACTGCGACGCTGCTAGCTACAGCCGGATCGGCAGGTCTGCGGGTGACAAGAGTCATAGGATCAGGGCGTCTAAAAGATGTTGTGCAGGTTACCTCTAGTCATAGTATGGTTATAGCGACTCACATAGGGAGCTAACAATACATAAAGTTTACGGGATATTTTTTTATATAAAACAAAAAGGGTTTTATGTCGATTTAAAATCACTTTTATATCAATAAGTACAGATATTACTGTACACTCTCGGTTTAGGTATTTATGACTACACATCATTTGAAACCACTTTTATATCTTTAAGTATGACAAGAGTCATAGGATCAGGGCGTCTAAAAGATGTTGTGCAGGTTACCTCTAGTCATAGTATGGTTATAGCGACTCACATAGGGAGCTAACAATACATAAAGTTTACGGGATATTTTTTTATATAAAACAAAAAGGGTTTTATGTCGATTTAAAATCACTTTTATATCAATAAGTACAGATATTACTGTACACTCTCGGTTTAGGTATTTATGACTACACATCATTTGAAACCACTTTTATATCTTTAAGTATGACAAATACTTGTTCGTTTTCGGTCCTGGTATTTAAGACCACATAACTTTTTATAAGGAAAATATTGGATTTTTCTTGGTAACATACATCTCTTTATAAAGATCGACTTTCAAATTCCTGTAAGTTATAACCAAAATCTCTTGTAGGGAGAGCGTGATAATTGTGTATAGATCTATATTGGGGTTGACATCCCACAACTCACTGCGACGCTGCTAGCTACAGCCGGATCGGCAGGTCTGCGGGTGACAAGAGTCATAGGATCAGGGCGTCTAAAAGATGTTGTGCAGGTTACCTCTAGTCATAGTATGGTTATAGCGACTCACATAGGGAGCTAACAATACATAAAGTTTACGGGATATTTTTTTATATAAAACAAAAAGGGTTTTATGTCGATTTAAAATCACTTTTATATCAATAAGTACAGATATTACTGTACACTCTCGGTTTAGGTATTTATGACTACACATCATTTGAAACCACTTTTATATCTTTAAGTATGACAAATACTTGTTCGTTTTCGGTCCTGGTATTTAAGACCACATAACTTTTTATAAGGAAAATATTGGATTTTTCTTGGTAACATACATCTCTTTATAAAGATCGACTTTCAAACTCTTACTGTCAAAAGCTTATGAACTCACCAACCTTTGTGTTGACACTTTTTCAATACTACTTGTATTCTCAGGAATTTAGTGAAACAGGAAATCAACAACGCTTTGAGGATGGGACAATAATTCGTCAAACAGTTCATTTTGTATCATAATGTAATTGATTTGAATCATGTAAACATATACTTTGGTGTAACTTTTTCAATTATATTTATGATGGTTGTATTTACTTTGAGCACTATTATACTCGTTGTTGTGATACTCTACATGAAGTCCTCCACCCCCAGACGTTTCCGCCATCCTTGGTTTGGGGGTGTGACAAACATAACAAGGGTGCATGGAGATGATGATGATGATGATGGACATGAGAATGGTGTATAGAGATGGAGATGAAGATAAAGATAGAGATGATGTGAAGATGATATCGATGACATGAGATATGGTGATGCTCGTTGATGACATTAGTGTATAAATACAACAATCGATGAGTGTATGAATATGACACTCAACTCACCGACATGGGTGAAGTCTATGAGCAAATATTGTGGAGAAGACGATGAACAAAACATAAGTGTATGGAAATGATGATAATGAACATGATAATGTATGGAGATGGAGATGGAGATGATGCGAAGGTGATGTTGATTACATGATATATGGTGAAAGCTCGTTGATGACATGAGTGTATATATATGACAATCAACTCATCGACATGGTAGTCTCGTTGCCGATTAGTGTTAATGGAACGACAATCAAAAGCTGACTAGGCAAGAATTTACTTGATGGCCTATTCGTATTTCTTAAAATGACTTTTTTAACACTTAAATTTGGACTTTAAACACCTAAATTTATAAAAATAATATAAAAAAATAATAATAAATTAAAAATAATAATAACAAAAAAATTAAGGGTTTTCTAAAACCAACTAGAAACATGATCCAACCAGAATGATTGAATTCATAAGATGATATTAACCCCCAAAATTATTAATAATGTACTTTAACAACCAACCACATTATCTTGACCTCCTTAACGTTTGGGCTTTTACCCAAATTATATTATCTACCGACTGAAATTATCATATATGTTAAATTATGATGTATGAAAAAAATTAAAATAAAGAGTACGGTTGAATACTTGAATTTGGATATGTGGGATAAGGGCTGATTTAACAAACATGTAGTAACTCGAGTGTATGTTGTTTTCTCTTTTGTATATTCCGTTTACAAATAACATGTCCACGTTGTCTGTATACAACTTATGAAAATATCTATAATTCTATACTATTGATGTAACTAGCAATTTTATATTTTTGGGAAAATATAGAAAATCCTTCTCATTTGCAGGCCAGTTATAAAAAGATTTGCTGGGTTAATTTTTGATATAAAAAAACCCGCTACATTATTTTCAAGTGTTTAAGGGGGTGTTTGGTTAAGTTTAGTAGCGGTTTCACACTGCTATAAACTGAAAAAATATTTTGATAAAAATAGCTTATAACGGTAAAAAACCGTTAATAAATCATTTTTATAAGTTACATCATTCTAACCATTCTAAGAGTTACATCAATCTAACCAATTAAGTTTGGGTAAATTAGATAATACTATAACATATGGGATCTATTATTAGAAAGCAAGTGAATTAACTTTTTGGTATTTAAAAAAAAAAAAAAAAAAAAAAAAAAAAAAAAAAAAACAACCTTAATATTTTATTTTTAACCTATAAAAATTGTCCTTTCAGTCGAGAAATAGAGGATTTTGCTTCCACCCTCGTTGGTTTACAATACGGAGCACATAGATTATTTGGTTGAAGCCTTTATGGACAAAACGGGAGAAACATAAAGATGATCAAAAGACACCAAACTAGAAATGAGCAAAATATTGACGAATTGGAGCTCCTCATGGGTGGACGAAGTCGACCTGCCCTACAGTCGACCCTCAAATTCCACTGTTTAAGCACTCACATATCAGTTTTCCATAATTTTCGAACAATTTCCGTTTTTATTTTATTTTGTTTTAATAACAAAATATATATTTTCTGAAATTCTCTTTCCTATTTATAAGGTTATTTATTAAATTTATTGTCAATTTCAGTTTTCTAAATTTAACCGTACCTACCAAAGTTAGCATCATGTAAGCCTTTAGAGGCATCTTGATTTTCAATAATAAAATACTTTGAGTTTCTCTCTATTGTTTGCTTTTGTTCTGCGTCAGTCCCCCCTTTAACCTCGTCATTTGCTTTCTCCTACAAATCACGCTCCAAAAAGATGGATGTTGTACGATGGTAGTGAGTGAGGGTGGTGGACCTATAAAATAAACTACTACGTCTCTCCACCGATCAACAGTTGCCACTCAAAACTCACATTAGCAAACGTCGCCCTCTTGTTCCATTTTGTTCTCATTCTTCCTTCCCGATGCCCTCTTCTTATACCTAGAAAATGAGTAGCAAACTCCATCAATAGAAAAAGAAAGGTGATATAGAGATTAATTATGTGTATGAAGATAAAGCATTACCTATAAAACACATCAAGAGACTATATTACCATTTTATATATTGATTATCATAGTATTTTTCTAAACCATAATGTCTTAGTGGGTGTTTAGGTGTGCTTAGCTTTTTAAAAAGCTAATGTAACATCCCAAAATTCAAGGCTGGAAATTTCATTTTTAAATAAGTTATTATAAAACCATAAGTAATAAAACATCCATAATAATATCTCATGTCAAAAACCAAAGTAGAAATAATCAAAACATGCTGTCATAAAACAATATCAGAGTGTAATCCCCAAGATCTCGTGTGCGGAAATATAGTGTGATGCGTTGCGATCGAGCCGACTCATTTCCTTTGAAAACGAAGTATCTGAAACCAAAACTGAAAACTATAAGCACAAAGCTTAGTGAGTTCCCTTATCGTACCACATACCATACAATAACATACATAGCCAAGCATATATGGGTTCCGGCCTCCCCTTCGGTCTTTTTCAACCGGATAACTGCCTAGCATATCTGGGAATCTGCCTCCCCTTTGGTCTCTTTCAATCGGATAACTGTCTAGCATATCTGGGTGATGGACTCCCCTTCAGTCTCTTTCAACCGGATAACGATGACTATTTCACCCCTACCAATACTACATAATAACATAACATAAACATACTACTAGGCATGCATGGGTTATGACGACCCCTTCGGTATCTTTCAACCGGTATTCGGGGACTATTTCACCCCTACTACTACTACTACTAACATGTATCACATAGCATCTTAGCACCCAAACATAACAGATAAAAACATACCAGACAATTATCACAAAGACAATCATCTAACAAACAACTCTTACTAGTGGGCCGACATTATGGCCTTAGACCCACTTCTACTGGAAAGTAACTCACATCACACTACTGAAGTCCCGTAGACACAATCCCAGCTGCTGGTTGACAGATTCTCGAACTATCAATATCAAACATCACCCAATTAATAATTGGGTCCCAACACAAAATTCATAAGTCCATGCTTGGGGTAAAAGACTACTTTACCCCCATCTTAGCTTGATTCAAGCTCAAGGCCCAATCCAAAGGCCCAAAAGTCAACTATGAGTTAAAGCCCAACACATGGCCTAATTTTCCAAATTGGGCCCAAACCTTTATAAGGTCTTACCATAAGGCCCAACCATTCCATTTAGTCCAGTCCAACATTTGACATTCTAATGGCCCAATATCACATAATCATAAAGGCCTAAACTATGGCCCAATTTTCCAAATTGGTCCTAACTCCTCATATGGGCTTTACCTTAAAGCTCATTAATTATTCTAGTCCAATTGCTTGATCTTGGATGGCCCATTAATAACCTAATTATCAAGGCCCAATAGAAAGTCCCAATAATAAACCCAAGTGAAATTAGGATTTCACATAAAATGTCGATTAGGGTTAAGTGTTTCTCACTTAACCCATTAAGGAATTAATCCATTAAGTCCATCACTCTTCTAAATAAATCATATGGTGTGATTGGGCTTAATACACAATTCAATTCCAATGGCCCAAATGTGGGTCCCAATAAGTCCAAGCCTATAAATCTAATATTAGGGTTTTCTAAACCCTAATTAGGGTTTCCAACCCCATCTTAGCCCAATAGGCCCAATAGCTAGGTCTTATGATCAATTAGGGTTCATTAGGCCCATTAGTCACATGTTTGGCCTTTTAGGTCAATTAAGGATTTATTAGGCCCATTAGGGTTTTAGTCCCTTTGTCCAAACATCCCAACCAAGTCATAATACAAATGAGGCACACCGCCACCCAACACGGCGGCCAATGGCGGCAACCACCACCTCATGGTGGTGATTTTGAGTTTCTTTCCATTATTCCATTTTTTGTTACAATTTACAATGCTAATCTCCAAAATAAACACACACACACACACACAGAAAAATGCTAAATACACACACATACAACCACCCTTATGGTGGCCGGTGGTAGTGGCTTTTCCAGCCAACTAAACAGCCACACAACATGCTCTTACTGCAAAAATGAACACAAATGCACCAAAACACACACACACACACATGGTGGAAGATTGTGGAAGCAGTGATATCAACGAAGGATTGTGGTGGCATCCGCCACCGTGAGGTGGTGGCGGTGGTTCCCTTATTCCCAGTCGAGCATCCACACGCACATACATGCAAACACGATATGAAACACACTCCCATACATGAAACGACCCACACAACCCAGCCATGAACATATGCGAGTCGACAGTCAACATTGAACAAAGAAACGAAACCCCAACCATCTTTTCTCGGCGACGAGCAACGGTCGGAGGCGACAACAACATGACGGCGGTGGCGTAAGATGAGGAAACAACAGAAGAGACATGAAGAGAGAGAGCGTGCGACCCACCCACGAACCGCAATAGAATCCACGAACCATGTTTTCCCGATCTTTTCGTGCCACTTCGTCTTCGCCGGCGACGGAACAAGGCGGCTGCTCCGATGATCCTTCAGTGGTGGCGAGGAGGTGACAGCTGGGGTTGGAGAAGATAAGGTGGCAGCTGAGTTGTTATTAGGGTTAGGGTTAGGAACACTTCATGTATATATGGAGGCAGCGTAGTAGGGTGACAGGTTCTAACCCATAACCCATACAACTACATATGGTTTTGGCACTTCTAGCCCCTCCTATCCATAATCTTTTCAAAAGAAGTCTACAGATTACCATTTAAACCCTGCCCCTTGAATTCCTTTACAAAATAAGTCTAGATTTTACTGAACAACCGCCATCTTCTAAAATCTTTACAAAACTAATCCAGAATTTACCTTTTTAACCCCCAACTCTCAATTATGACATACTCAACCTTCCCCTCTCTTTTTCCTCCAAAATAAGTCCCAATAATTACCACAGATCCCTTTCCTTCATAAATATTTACAAAATTCAACCCATGAATAATCCAAAGAATAAATTTTGGCTCCCAAAACCAACACCCTATTAAATATTATGGATTTTGCGGCCAGGATTCATTTATTAATCTTTATCTATTTATTTACGTAATAAACTGGGTGTTACAGCTAATAAGCTAAAAAAGTGTTTGGGTTTTTCAAAAGCGCTTTTCAAACAACTTTTTGGATTGGCAAAATAAGAACGTTTCAAAAGGTTATAAAATCCTAGCTTTTTGATAGTTTTTTTTTTAGCTTTTTAGCTTTTCCTACCACTTTTTACCTCTAAAAAGTTAAGTTAAACACTTTTTAAAACCAACTTATAGACTTTTAGTTTTTCCCACTACAAAAGCTAACCTTAATACTTTTTCAAAACTTCTTTTTCAAAATACCATAATCCAATAAACAATTTTACCAAAAACACTCCCAAACACACCCTTAATTACAATGCAAATATTTGACTTTATTTTGAAGTTTTTGCATCTTATTGAACATAAGTCATCAAACAAGTGATATTAGTTGGTTGGGACTATGAGGTTGACCAAGGGATGTGAATAGTTGTATATTTATTGCATTGTGTATTTTTCAAGTTATTATTTTATGAAATGATTTATAATTCATTTATGTTATGATGTTTTCCCCTAAGTTTAGTTAGGTTTTATTGATCTATAGGTACGTTGAAAACTATTGTTGGTGGTTTAACTTTAGGATTGTATGATCTCTCTCATATTTTTCTCTTGAATCGGTGACCCTTACGTATACTCATTAGGTTATTCAAGCCAAATACTTGTATTTTGAGATGCACTTTGTTTGAAATATTTAGTGAAGAACGAAGACATGTCTAGCTCATAGATATGTAGAGGATATTGTAAATTTCAGATGCAATGGTTATAAATTGTTTACTCTAAATTTTTGTCTGATGATTACTTTTGTTACACCCTTATATGTATTGACAAACTTTAAAACTACAAGGGTTTAACCGTTTGGGTCTTATATTTCGCAAAGTGTTTTCTTTAAAATCAAGCCATTTATCTTCAACAAATATGTCCAATCATTTCCCCTTGTCTTCAACATGGACGGTTAGACTTCACGGAATTCAACATTTTGGGACGAGTTTTGGGCAAGTAATTTTTTTGAACCAGCAAATATATTCATTATAAGAAAGAAAGAAAACAAAACAACAACGAGATCCCGACTAGCAAGGAGCTAGTAGGTACGGTAGAGTTTTCAGTTTACATCATTATCGTTATCATATCCTATTGCATTACATTTGAATTCAATTTAGTTAAGAGGACATAAATACCAAAGAGCTCATTCATAAATCTTTGCCGAGATCATGTATTTCAGCCGCATGTATACCATCGATTGGATGTTATCAACAACCTTTGAGGGAGTAGTGATAAATTTTTTGAATACCTCACATTCCTAGCCTTCCAAATCTCCCAGAGTGTACCATAGCATATGTTGATCAAGACCTTCCTGTTCTTCATGCGACTTCCCTGCTATGATACATATTCAATCAGATCACACATTGTGTTAAACTGAAAGTGAGGCATGTTACACCATTTCCACATCCATTCCCAAACTGTCTTCACAAAAGTGTAACTGGGTAGAATATGGTCTGGACTTTCATTTGCCCCCATACATTGTCCACATTGGATTAATTCTAATATTATACCTCTCTTAGATAGTTCTATAGTTGTTGGTATCCTTCCAAAACTTGCTCGCTAAATAAAGTAGAGAACTTTGATAGGGACTTCCTTTATCCATTCTACTTTGACATGAGGTACTGGATTCTTTGGCCAATCAATCCGATGCCTGACTATATCAACATGATATTTACCATCTCCCGATGGAACACATCTCCATTTATCTCCATCTGTTGTTGGTCGAAACTGACCCAAGGATGAACAGAGGGCTGCAAGATCGGTGATGTTTGGTGTAGGCTTCCAATTTTATTCCAATCCAGTGATCTTCACTCTATCTTCCACTGTGTATCTTTTTTTCTTTCCAAATCGTATAGATTCGGAAATACTACCTTTAATGTTTCGTTCCTAACCCATCTATTTAGCCAAAATAGTGTCTCGTCACCTTTATTCACCTTTTTTTCATAGTAACCTCCATAGGTACATCTGCCTTTCTTAGTTCTATATCAATAGAGGTGATATTCTTCCATACACCAGTGCTCGATCGATTAGCTAGACGCGAATCTTCCTTTGATTTTGTTTTGTGAATTCCATGGATGACCTGGGTCCATAACATGTTTTGATTCAATCTTAATCTCCACCATCACTTTACGATAATGGGTAAGTTAATGTCCCAAAGTGAACCTAGTCCCAGTCCCCCTGCTTCTTTGTGGGCTATAACTTTTTCCCAAGTCACCTAGTTTATCTTTTTATTATTTTCCGTTCCCCCCCATATAAATTTCCTTCGTATCCGTTCTAGTGAGTTTATGACCCCCATCGGTGCCATAAAGAGGGAGAAGAAGTAAGTGAGGAGGTCACCAATAATTGATTTGATGAGAGTCATCCTTCCACCAGACGATAATGGTTTTGCCTTCCAAGATGACAACTTCCCATTGAATTTGTCAATTACATGCTGCCAATTTCTTTTCAGGTTCATACTGGCTCCTACCGGTACTCCGATGTAAGCGAACAAAAGTGTTACAAGCTCACATCCAAGTGGGGCTGCCATTCAGGAAGTCTCACGTAGTGATGAGCCAACTCCAAACAAGTTCGACTTGTGGAAATTAAATTTGAGTCCTGAGGATATCTGGAAGCAGCGAAGTATTTGTGCCAAGTTCTTGATATTACTTTCAACCCATTCGCCTATGAAGAGTGCATCATCTGTATAAAAAAGATGTGAGACCATATTGGTTGACATTGGGATTTTAATACCTTGAAACAACCCTTTAACACAGGTATATTTCATTGCTACATTGAGACCCTCCATAGAAATTATAAACAGGAATGAGGAGAATGGATCCCCTTGCCTAACCCCCCTCTCAAGTAAGAATTCTTTGGTGGGAGCTCCATTGACAAGAACTGATGATTTGTATGAAGTTAAGCATCCACAAATCCAATTATGCCATTTCGTACCGTACCCCATTTGCATCATAATTGAATCAAGAAAATTCCAAATAACAGAGTCAAACGTCTTATCAAAGTCGACCTTGAAAAGTAATATCTTCTTTTTCTTCTTTTTTTTACCATGAGCAAATTTTGTTTACAATGAGGGGCCATCGAGTATACTTGTTCCATCCATATAGGCGGACTGGACTTCGTCCACAGTGAGTCCCACAAACTTCTTGAGTCTGCAAGCTAGCACTTTGGCAATTATCTTATTGAGACATCCAATAAGACTAATAGGACAAAAGTCCCCCAAATATATAGGATCTTTGACCATAGCCACCAATGTTATAAAATAGGAGTTGCATCATCTTTCTAATCTACCAGTATGTTCAAAATACTTTACCATAGCAAATATGTCATCTTTGAGCTTCTCCCATTGATGTTTGATGAATTTGAAAGGAAAACCGTTTGGGCTCGGGGCCTTTACGTTTCCATAATCCCAAATAGCTGCCTTGATCTCGTCAAGCAAGAAAGGTTTTTCAAGGTTTTTACTATCCAATTCAGAGAGGGCCTTAAACTGATTGCTAATCTATTTTTGTCTTACAAGCCATCTATCCCTGAATTTGTGCTCAAAGAATCTAACTGCCTCATCCATTATTTCCTTCGCATTTGTAGACCAAGACCCATTGATTGTCAATCCATATAGAGTGTTTTCCGATTCTTATTGTTTACATACTCGTGACAGAACCGGGTATCCTCATTCCCGTCAACTATCCAATGGATGCGTGACTTTTGCTTGAGATCAAGGGTCGCCAGTTTCTCTAGCTCAATATTTTTTTGGTTTCTTTCATTATGTTTATTCATCTCTTCAACCGTAAGAGTTCTTGTTTCAGCCACCATATCCAACGAGTCTACTAGGTTCTTTAGCTGGTTTAACTCTGCCTTTTCTTTGGGGAATGTTGTGATTCCCCATTTCTTTAAATATTCTTTAAAATGTTTGAGCTTAGCGGCCAGATACATATCATGGGTTCTGTTTCCTCTAAATGTTTGCAGAGCACTATCTACAACCATGTTGAAGTCTTCTCTTTGCATCCACCTGTTAAAAAATCAAAATGGTATGGGCCCAGAATCAACATAATCAGTGGATAGTACATAGTTCTGTTGGCAGGGCGGTGGCGCTTGTGTTGGGGAAAGTATCCAAAAAGTTTGAGCAAACTAGAAACCTGTCTAGTTTTCTTAGTTTTAGTTCATGCCAACGAAAGTAAGTAAATCTGTGTCCCCCCATCTTGACATCGTGAAGACCGGCTTCATGTATGAATTGGTTGAAATTTCGAGCACTGGATTTATAGAATTGGGAGTTAATTCACTCCTCAGGATGTCTCACTACATTGAAATGTCCAAATATTATCCCAGTCCCCTGTTTCTCATTTTTTTATCTTGCTAAGATTCTCCTAAAGTGTTCGTTTTTCTGGAATCGAATAAGGTCTGTACACATTGGAAAAGATAGTTCTTCCTTGTATTCCTTTCCATTGTTGGATTGTGATTAGGAAGTACCTATTTTTGATAACCTCCATGACATTGAAAATACTTTCATCCCAAATGCTCAATATCCCACCCGATCTTCCAGTGGAGTCTACAACTGTATGGCCAAAGTTATTAGAGTCCCAACATCCTCCCACATCGATGACTTCTAAGTTCGTCAATTGAGTTTCATGGATTCTCGGAAAAGAAAGTCAATGTTTGATTTTCAATCTCCTGGACCATATAATTTTGGTGGTTTCCCTCATCCTCCTGATGTGAAGTGACTTCCAATTCATTGGATTAAACTATTAGCTCGCACCTCACCTAGTACTTCCGATAATATGGGATTATCCATCTCTATTTCAAATCCCAGTTGCTTACCAACATTAGCCATATTCTTTGCCTCCAGCAAAGAGGATATACAATCATTAAGTTCCGCTTCTGATGCATTCCTTGAGTTCTCCCTGAACCCTCGATTAAGATCTATTAAGGATACGTCTTCAATTATGTCCAACGGAGCAGTGCTTCTGTTGGAAGGGGGTACAGATGTTCCATATTCGACATCATGAAAGTCAAGATTAGCCATAGGACGGATATGATTTATGAAAAAGCGAGAAGCCAGATCATCTGTTCTGTGTCTTTTGAGTGTAGATCCCCCGACGTTGAATTGAGGAAGGGAATTAGGCCGAGATGTTTCCAAACTGTTGATCCACCTAGACGAGAAAGGTCCAAAGCATCCACTATTAAGGAGCCCGGTAGGTTTGGTACTTTTTTAAAGCACATTGCCACCAATTTCTTAATTTTCACCCGTTTGACCTAGTCGATCCATTTGACTGTTAATATTGACATTCCTTGAATCATTTTTACCTTTGGAGTTAATTGGAGTGTTTTCCCCATGAGTCTGTTCATATTCCCTCCTTGGTAGAGCTTCAGCGTGTGTCAATTGCTCTTCTCAAGGAGCCTTTTCCACATGCACGTCTGTTGGCATCCTTTCTCCGGCGCCACTGTTGATGGCACCGTCAGCAATGTCACCGTTGATCAAATCTTCACCGTTTTCCATCTCAATCTCCCTTCTTCAAGGTCTTTGTTGTTTTCCGGTATCCATGTATCGGATATTCCATCATCTGACTCTGTATCTTCCTATGATTCTATTATCTCATCCGATTCCTCCTTATATGGAATACATATCGGATCAAAGTTAAACGGAAACCAATCTTCATCAAACTCGATGATACCAATCCTAGTTAGTGTGCCCATTAACAAAACTGTAATTTCTTCATTTATTCTTCGCCTAATTCCTGTTAAGATTACAATCTTCACGTGAGAGATATCCACACGATTTGGGAGATCATCGTATGGAGCAATGGTTACACTATAAGGAGTAGTAATGGCAGAAAAGTTTGTTTCCCCCCAGTATTGTAAATGGAGCCCAGTGATTCTTATCCATGCAACTCGCTTATATTTCATCGTGCTTTCAAGTTCTTATGGTTTAACCCCTTTCATGTATTATTCCCATCTTCGTTTGTTCTCCATGAATCCCTTAGTCGCGATGGAGTTTTTGAATACAAGCAGAACCTTGAGTCCCCCAATGTACTTAATCTCGAAGTTTGGCGCCTCCTTTAGGTGGATTAGGGATCTCATGTGACCAAGGTGGGCAAGGGATAGTACTTCCCCCACCACTTATACCTTCCTAAGTCTATGGCTTATTTCTGTGTCAGGCGATATGGTGATTATAGGAGGGGGGGGGGGGATCCTGAGATTTTCCAGTTATATGCTCCATGTTCTCTTCTATTATTTACTATCTTAGATGCCATAGTTTCTCTAGGGTGCTTTTCCAGATTGATCGATAGTTTTCTCCCCCTGTGTATTGTACCATCAATCTGCCTTTCTAGGTTAAGTTTATCTTCCACATCCATAAACCTGATGAAGAGATAAAATTTCCCGTTCTTCCCCTTTCTGCCTAGGAAGTACACATCTGATACCTTGAAAATAATAAGGAATTCTTTCCTCATCTCCTACCTGTTAACATCGCCCAAGACATTACTGACAAAATATGTGGCCTCGTTGAGTGTTCTTGCATCAGTATGTTTCTTTCTCCGCCAAAATTCAGTCCATTTCAAGCAATCTCCTCCCCTTGTCGTCATGCTTCTCCCTACCCTAATCTGTTATGTTCTATAGACTGTATTTTGCTATGTTGGCAAGTAAATGGTTATGAGATTTTTCTATAAAAATTTGCAGGCTTGTGATGATTATGGTATTACGGTTATACCTGTCTAATTACCTGACCATAAATATCCAATTCCAAACCATTTATATTATAATAATACTTATTATTTTATTATTACTATATCTAATTTCAAAATTATATTTTAATATTAAAAATGTATTATAAATAAAAAGTTTGTTATGTAATTATTGTTTACATATAACTATTTTATTATATATTTTATAATATGGAATAATACATGGATATTTTAAACTTTAAATGAAGATTGGACTATATATATATATATATATATATATGTGTGTGTGTGTGTGTGTGTGTGTGTGTGTGTGTTAGATAATGGGTTATTGACATAAAAGCCTCAGATTTTACACAAAATATTCGGTTATGCCTAAAGTCTGATTCTTTGTGCATTAATGTCCTAACATACTGGAAAATTAGGTCAATGTTACCCTTTAACCATCCTAACGACGCGAGTGGGATTGGAACCTTCACCTCCCAGAAAGATAGCCAACAACATAACAGCTAGGTTGCGACTCATTTTGTCCAAATCTAGCTAATAATTGTAACACCCTGTATTGAATTGCTTCATTATTTGGGGTTGCAACCCGATCATCATTTATCTTAAGGCTTATGATCTTGGGGAAGAAGGATTTGGCCCTTTTTTATTAAAGGTGTTAATATTTAAGTGATCAGAGTGTTCAATGTTGTTTCGGAGTTCAAGGTCATAATCATAAATTGTTATCTCAGTGCTTTATGAATTTTGGATTTTGTTCAGGGAGTTTTAAGGTTATGAATGGTTTCTAAAAGTGTAGGGCTTTGCGTCACCTTTACGTGGGTATAAAGTTCGTCGAAAACAGACTTAGAATAAAGAATTTATGGCATTCGGAAGAATTTAGAGTTTTGGGGAAAAACCCTAGTATGCAGGGCATACATGGGAAGTACGCAGGGCGTACTTATGCGGGGGCATTTGAGCGGAGAGTACCTTCGCATACTCTAAGTGTAATTAGTAGACTTGGTCGCGAAGCTTTGACATCGTACGTTGGGCGTACGAGGAGTACATTAGGCATATGAGGAGTGGCTAAACCCTACATTTTAATCATGTGTACCCTATTTAAACATCCTTATTCCTTAGGGTTGGCCTCCTTTCAGCCTCTAAAGCCCTAAAACCCTAAAAACGAGTCTTAGTCTCCATTGTTGGGTGTTTGAGCCTTTGGTGAAAATTTGGTGTTCATTTTTGTGGATCTAGAAGAAGAAGGAGAAACTTGAAGACTTATTGTTTGAAGGAAAGCTTTGAGATCCAACATTTGCATCTCCTTTTGGTAGTTTGGGAGGTATAAAGTCCAAACCTTTCCTTTTCATTTCATGGATCTTCTTCTTGGTTCATTTTTGTTCATTTTGATCCTTTTGGTTGATGATTGAGAGTTAAAGTCATTTTTGAACCTTGAAATTGTAGATCTAGATATATTATGGGTTCCTTGGGCATAAAGGTGCAGACTTTATGGTGGTTTTGGTTCCATGCATGTATTAAGTGATATATTAAGCTCTTTTGAGCTCTAGAGTCCCATTTAGCCATGCATGCACATAAAGTTGGCAACTTTACGTGATTAACCACCTTGGAGAAGTCAGATCTGAGTTTGGATCCAAGTCTTAATGGATTAAGTGATAATTTTGGAAGGATGGCCATGGTTGGTGAGTACGTTAGGCGTATAAGTGTGTATGTTGTGCGCACAAGCCTTCCATGTTGTATGCTGGGCGTACAAGCTAAGTACGCCCCGCATACTCGGCAGACTTGGGCCCCTTCGTTAGGGCTTCAGTTTTGGGCCTAGTTGTGTTGGGCTATATTTGGCCATCTGGATTTTTATGGTTAGGTTGTTATGTCTTTTTGGACCTTCTTGGGAGAATGTCCATGAAAGGAATTGGGCCTAATTTGGAAAATTAGGCCATAGTTGGACATTAGTTGTTATTTTGGATTTTAAGCCTTTGGTCATCTTTTTAGGCCAAGCTTGAGGAAGGGTAATAAGGCCTTTTACCCTAATTTGGACTTATAGTGTGAGTCAGGGGATATATGTTGATGAGTTATCATTGTAGTTTCTCATAGCACGTGGATTTTAGTGGATCTGCATCCATATATTATTTGTGGGATCACTTGTTGATAAGGTGTTTTCTTGTTATTGATAGTTCGGGGATCGGTCAACCAACAGCCAAGGATCGTCTAGTAGATAGGATGTTGCTATGCGTAGTGATATGTAGATATATTTGTTTGGTTGTAGACTGTCAGATGATTATCTGTTATATGTACACATGTTTGGTCTGTGGCTGAGGCTTCACTTCTCTGTGTGTAAGCCAATAGGCTGGGGCATTCCAACCTGATAGTTGAATGGGCCTGAGGGTATTCTATCCTGAGAATGATTGGACCCATAGTATGTTGGCATTCCAACCCGATGGTTGAGGGCCTGGGGGATTCAAACCCGATGGTTGATTGGACCCATGGTATGTTTGGATTCCAACCCGATGGTTAAGGGCTTAGGGTATTGCAACCCGATGGTTAATTGGTCCCATAGTATAGTGTTTGTGATATGTGTTATTTGTTGTGTGTTGGTACTTTTGGGGGAACTGACTAAGCTTTGTGGTTATAGTTTTGTTTATGATTTCAGGTTCTTCAAACGATTTGTGGCAAGACGAAGGCGTGACCGTACACATCCTTGGTTTTACAATAGATTGGATCTTGGGAGACTTTGATTTTAAATAATGTTTTAGGAATCAATGTTTTCTAAACACTTTTGTTAATAAATGGGTTGTTTTGAAAAGTGTAAATTTGCTAAAATATTTGGGATGTTACAAGTTGGTATCAGAGCCTGGTTTGAGTGAATTGGAGGAACACTCTTGTGAATCCAATCTCAAACTAAGGAGAAAGGGTTTTAAAAATGATTTTCAAAGTAAGGGTTTTAAAGTAACTTTCAAAGTTTCTTTCAAAATAACCAAAAGAGGAAGTCAGTAAGTTGACCCCAAATTACCACGCCATTCTTTGATATTGTGATATTTTAGAACAACATGCTAGTGATAGGCTAGGGATCTTCAGGAATTGCATAATAGAATTGCCTAATTATATTATGCCTAATAGCTTAGGGTTCTTCCTTCTATGAAATTGACATCATTAGTGTAGTTGCTTATTGTATGAATCATAGTTGTACATAATTAAGATTCTATAGCATGAGAATGTTTTTTGGCGTTATTTCATGTTCTTGTTTGATGAAGGGAATAGGGTTGGATCAGATATTCGACTATCTATATGATCCAGTGTTATGTATGGCTAGCATACACGAGTGTTGCAGGGTTGGTAGAAGTTTCATGAGTGGGTACAGTGTATAAGCGGGTTAGCGCGAGGAATTATTATCCACTCTGGGTAGAGTGAGAGTAGGACGAAGGTGCACCCGTGGTGCAGGGAGTTTGAGATTGAGAATTTCGTAAGATGATTTGTCCGATTTTATTGCGTTTTAGTGCCAGTCGGCTTCTTTGCTCGAATGATGCTTACTTTGTGCTTTGTGGGACCCATGTTGATGAGAGTTAACCATTAAATGAATACAATAAAATTACATGTTGTGAAGGTTAAATAATCTTATTGTAACATCCCAAGTTTTGTCATTTGAAGTCCTTGGGGATGGAAGGGTAAACCCATGAAGAGCCTAAGGTCTAAATTGTAATTTTGGGAGCATGAGGAGTACGTTACGCGTACATAAGGGTATGCCGAGCGTACTAGGGCGCGCCCCAGTACGTTGGGCGTACTCATAAAGGATGAAAACCCTAATATCTCAGGTTAGGGGCTATATAAACATCCTTATGGCTCATTTTCTCTCCTCCTTCTCAGCCTCTATCTTCCAGAAACGTTCCCAACCCCTAGTTCTTTTGTGTAAGAGTGATTTGGTGGGTATTTTGAGCTCTTGAAGGTGAAGCCATTGCAATAAATAGTTAAAGAAGAAGATTAGCTTGTAGACATGAGATTATGTTGTGCTCTAGAAGCTCCAGGAGGTAAAAAGCTTCAAACTTTATGCTTGTAGGTCATAAATCTAGCCTTTATAGCATTATGGAACCATTTCTTGTCCCAAAAACCCCAATATGGTGCATGATGCATTTTGGACGAGATAAGTTGTCCTTTGTAGAACTTGAAGGGGTCTCAAGTGATAAAAATGAGGTCCCAATGGCTTAAGATGTCCCTTGCATGATGTAGAAGGGTCTTAATGGATTAAGTCCTTGTATTTAGAGCTTTCTGGACATCCAAAGTGATAAAGTTCGAGACTTTATGAGTCCTAGGCACATTTGGTCACTGGATCTGGAGTTTAGGCTTAAGTGCTTAAGCTATTAAGCACTTATTAAGGTTTTGGTGAAACCTTGCGTACGCCCAACGTAAGCTTCTGTACGCCCAGTGTACTAAGTCAATGACCCGTTTTCCAGTCAATGTGAGACTCACGTACGCCCCGCGTAGCCTTGGGTTACACCCAACGTACACCTTCAGTGGGCTTTTGGTGATTTTGGGCTTTGGATTTGGGCTAGTAAGGTTTGGGCCTTGCTGTACTTTTCAAGTAGATTTGTTTTGGAGCAGTTTTAGTGATGGTTGATCATGAGGTTAAGCCTAATATGGAAGTTGGGCCCAATTTAGTAAATTAGGCCAATAATGGGCCTTGCATAAAGACTATCAAGGTTATGGACTTGGAATTGGGCCTTGGCCCAATAAAAGGGAATGGATATGATGGATTGAGTGGACCTTTTTGCAAAGATGGTTTATGTTGTGTAATGACTTGGTAATTATTTTGTGATAGTTCTGGATTTCCAGTGAGATAGTGGTTCGGGAGTTCGTTTCTTCAGTTCAGATCGGCGTTGCGAGGTGAGTTATTCTCACTATATCAACAGGGTCTAAGGCAC